ATTAAAACCGTTGCTTCCGCAAGACACACAAGCTTACCTGCGGCAAACACGACCGACACGGAACAACATTTGCTTGTAGAGCCACTTTTGTAGGTGCTTCGCGGGCTTCGAGGTGCCTCAACACGTTGCAGCGTAGCGAAACTATGCTGCTATGCTGACTATGCTTGGTATGCTCCAGAGCATGTACCGGCAAGTATGGGGTGCGAGCGTCCTTTGCGGAGAAGGCAGGCGTAAATCGAGGAGGAAGAGAGAGGGCAGCGGACGGCCTCCACCGCTCCTCTGCGCGGGAATGAAAAAATATAGGAGGCTATGGGTTGTTATGTGGAGTTCAACGTCCCAAAACCACCATATGATTGTCAGAGACGCCATACTAGAAGGCTCCGGAAATTTCGACCAGCTTAGGTTCGTTAACGTCTACCCAAATCTGATCAGACGGGCCTACAGAATTTCGGCTTCCATCAAAAATCCTGCCGCTGCTGCGAGGATTCGATCCCGTGACCTGACGGTCGACAGCCGAGTACCTCGCCACTAGACCGCCGTAGTAGGTGTAAACGACAGGTACAGTGACCATTTGGAGCAACGGCCTCTCGTCGCACCATTGAATGGACTAGTCTTCGAAAACGCATCATTGCGATGGCCCGCCTCATCCAAGACATCCCTAATTGTTAATGTCTTTTAAGGGTAGATGGCATCATTCTCGTCGTGACGAAGTGCGTTTCACAAGTCAAGGACGGCTCCACTTAAGAACAGAAAAAAATGGGATACGCAGCATGGTTTAGTACATTCATAATTACATCTCGGTTTTGCTTACTTTGTCTAGAAAATAATTTTTTACTGTCGACGTTTCTGACTGGATGCCTATGGGAATGTTTTTTTTTTCATGTTAAACTTTATATGTCAAGCAGTCTTGTCGTGGTGATAGGTTTTGATCAACATTTTTTTAACTTTGCTGCGCGCATACAAGGATGCTTGCGATACGCAATAAGTGACTTTCTTGTAACTTATGCTGCACGATGGCAACACGATTTTGCATGCGATACTTTTCGGGAAGACTTTCTCGTACTTTGGTTGACATTATAGAGTTGATTTATTGATTGATGTGTGGGGTTTAATGTCCTAAAACAACCATATGATTATAAGAGACGCCGTAGTGGAGAGCTCCGCAAATCTAGACCACCTGGGGTTATTTAACGTGCACCAAAATCTGAGCACACGGGTCTACAACATTTCCGCCTCCATCGGAAATGAAGCCGCCGCAGCCGGGATTCGATCGCGCGACTTGCGGGTCAGCAGCCGAGTACCTTAGCCACTAGACCACCGCGGCGGGGCGACATTAGAGTTGCACTGCGACTTTTGATGGTAATGAAGTAGTCTAATCGTGGAGGGTTTATCGTGCAACCGAGAAGGGCAAGGTAATCGTTGTGGAGAAATGTTCAGTTGGTCTCCATCGTAAATGCACCCGGCATGAGACGATAGGTCCGTTCGAGCTATCTGCACTGCCTGAGCCTGTTCACGCAGTGCCGCGTTCGACCATTCGTTTTTGTCGCGCAATCTGGTGACCTTTGAACTAAGCCATTCGTTTAAAAAAGTGAGGAAATCGTGCACGACTATTTCAGAAAAAGCCCTGCAGGGAGTTCAGAGGTAGTGCAGCTAGAGTACAAGGAGTGGCGCTGTTGCAGCTATGGCAGCAGACGAATTATGTGTATCTATAAGAGGTGTTCTCACGAAGTTGACGCCGATACTGAATGAAGATGTGAACCACGTAAATGGTAATTAGGCGACTCTGCTCGCTTTTTCATATCCACCTGTCAGCTGACTTTGCATCCTATGGCGTTTTTAGGCCCCATGCAGCTGGTTTTCGCTAGGAAACCGGCTTTTCTGTATTTCTGCTCTTGTCTGACTCCAAGGAATTACTTCCGCACTCACGCGGTTGAGAAACTCCAAGGTTCGCTCGACGCCACTGTGTACAGTCGACAGGGCCGTGTCGAACCATTCGGCCAAGGGGCTGTCTACCCGAATAGCACAAAACTACCAAGCACGTTTTTTTCAGCACTGACCAATCGTCTTCCAGTTGTCGCGTTAGGAAAAAATCAAGGTACTGGCGCACGGACTTCTTCACATTACCTCGGAATTCTGTTGCGTTGCAACCCACCAATTTATTCGTAACAACTGCGACGATGCATTGTCAACCTCTTATCAGTTCAATAAAACTTTGTTAAATGACTGCACATGCTGTGAGAAAATCTATGGCTTTTTGGGCGAAATTTGTAGCTTGCTAAACAATGATTTCACGCGCAAGCACACGACGAACAAGTGAGAAACACGGCGCCGCCGCCATGCTATCAGCAGTACCTGCACTTGGCGTTCACTTCAGTGTCGAGCTAGTGTCGCGCTACGCGACCACACGCTGAACTGTTGCTGCATGAGCTCAGCTTTATAGCTGCAGTCATCTTAACTACATGAAACTGGTGCAGGCAGTGCAAGGCGAACCGAATGGACCTTATAACTACTCACATAGAAGTAGCTTGTTCGCTGGGTTTATGTGCTAGAAAACGTTTATTTATTTTTTTTTTCGTAGCTTTCGTCGCTCTGCTCCTGAAACTATAGCGTTGTGTGCAAAGTGTCTTCCGTTGTTTATAAGCTTGCCGCTATCCTTTTTCTTTACGTCGAAAGATTCAGATCACTACGAAATATTTCACCACGCAGCTTAGATATGCCATGTATACACCATTATAACCAGTACGTGCACTTATGTTGGCAGCAGTCACGCCGGCACGAACAGAAGCAACTTCGTACCACAGAAAATATCGAGTGATTGGCTCACTTGCGATCAAGGAATGAACTCTGGTCTTGTTTAGAGCATAGTTCACAATATTCTAGTTCTCTGACGCGTTAATTTTGACAATAACTGCCAGCGCATGACACACAAGTTTACTTACGCTGTACTGTGTACCGTACATACCTGTCGGTTGTCTGTTTCAAGCATTCTGATTACAGTCACCGGAATCTCACTACTGGCATCAACTTCTTCGCGTCTATTCATATTTTTGGTGTGGAATCACAACGCATCAAAAACTACTAGCGTTCCGTAGGATCGCAATCACAAACGCCAGATGCTTCGCACGCAGAGTAAGATACTGGACGAGCGCGACCTTACCGACACCTGAAAAGAAGCGGATAAAATGTATACCCGTGAAGTTTTCCACCAGCGAATAATTAAGCGAGCACTCGTGCTTAAGAGGGAACTTAGCCAGCCGACATTTAACGTCGCTAAGGTTCTCGTTTCTCGCATTTGGTGTCACTGTCTAAAATTTGCTGAGCGCGTTGCTTCCTAGCAATGCGAAGTCACCCCGTTGAAATGCGCTGCCTACACGTATTGGTGGTGTAAGGTCTGGCGTCGCAGGTCAGGGGGGTTAGTCTTCTTTGTCGCAAAAGGGTGCGCTTCCGAAAGAACCCATTCTCGGGAGACGATAATCCCGGCGTAAGGACGCCCGTTCTGGTAAGAAGACCGCGGTAAGTCGCCGCTTTTAACGACTAGCTAGGTGGTCCCGGCCAGCGGGGTGCCGACGGTCGACGTGATGACGTCCGGTGTATCGACACCCATCAATTTGATTTGGGTCAGCGAAACCGCTGTCACGCTGGACAGCTTAATCCTCTCGCAGTAATGGCACAGGCCCGCAGCCAAACAGCGTCACCATCGTGCGCCTTCGCACAGATCGCGGAATGTTTAATGTAGGCCAGTCCTTTCGTCTCTCTTCTCTCTCTCTCAGACCGAGAGGTCAAGTGCTTGAATAAGAGAGCGAGAGGAGAGGACTGGCAACAAATGTTTTCAGTCTGCTCGATAAACGACTGAATCGTTTTGGTTGGCCGTGAGGAGAATTGAGAGGGGCAACCTAGGGGTTAAAATCTGGCTCCCGAGTCCTCACGGGTAATTCTGGTTGCTGCAAAGAGTGCTCTGCACTATCGTCTCTGCCGAGGCAACATGCGACGGTTCCAACGGTGAAGAGTATTTGTACATAAGTTCCTGTACATTTGTAGATAAGTTCCTGTACATGAAGTCGAATCGTTGCGGCGTATCGAAAGGCGCTGGTCTCCATCCTTTACCAGCAGCAGCTATGACAAGACAAGACAAGACGGACACCGTGCAACCTACCTTCCACTCCCTTTCGTAGCGACAGCCACTACGCAGCTGAGAGAGCTCTGCTCAAGAGAACAGAAGGATTGGGTAAAAGGTTGAGTTTTACTGGTGCAGTCAGAAAAGATCGAGACGACGACGACAAGGAACGCTCTGCGTACCAAGGAGTTCATCATGTTGCGGAGGACACGCAAGACGAAAGCCAAGACATCGGCTTGTCCAACGAAGAAGCAAGCCACCGAGCTGAGGAGGCTGCGGTGCGGCAGCCATCGACCCGGGAAGTCAGTGGTGTGGCAGCTGTCATGCCGATTCATGGGTCCGGTGACAACCCAGGTGACATCGGGCGATGTCGAGCGTCTGACGGCGGGCAAGGTGAGAGGGCAGCGAGCAGCAGCTTCACGAGGGTTGAGTCCTCTGGTGTTCTTACATCTCAGGTGTGCCACTGCGTTTCTTGAGTTTTAAGGTGTCCTATGCACACGAGGTTTGCCCACTTATACCCGGACAGGTGAGCACAGGCCATAAGTCGCTAGTAGGGTGACGAGAGTGATGCGGCCAATCCGAAAGAGTGTAGTGCGCGGGAGTGCCAGAAAGATGACCGTATCGGAAATCTCACGCAGGAGCGTAGACTGCAGGAGTTGTGGTTAGAGATAGAGAGACTGTCGAAAGACGATGGGCGGAAGCTTTCGGAGTGGACCTGAGTTCGGCAGGCGGGATCCATGTAGCGAACTGAGACACTATTCGAAAGTTCGCTCAGGTGTATGACCCTAATCCCAACAGAGACTGAAGCACCGGTGTGGTTTGAGTCCGTGGAAAGTGTCCTAGAAGCGTACGAGGTATCGGGGGAGTTCTGGGGGCGTGTGATTTTCTCATTGGTAGCGGAGAGAGTCCAATTTTTGTCCACGTGACTGATAATAACGAAGCATGGAGATAAGTTTCAAGTACCAATAGTCGCTCCTCAGTTGAAACATCATTGGATGCGACACTGTGTCTGCGCAAAGTTGGCAAGATTGCGAGGTAATCAAGCAAACGGTATAGACGAGCTCAAACTTTCGGCAGGGGAATATCTAAGAAGGTTCTTGGGGTCAGGGAAGTGTGCGAACGAAGGGTGGAAACCTTTTTCGACACGTTTAGAGAGCTACCTCCTCTTTTACCTTGAGGCAAAAAGGGTGTTGACATTCGAAGGCCTGGTAAAGCTTTTGGTTGCCGACCAGTTAAAGAAAAATTTGTAGGAGGAGGCAGTGTGGTATGTTATACTCCAAGGAAGGGAGAAAGTGGATGAGCGCCCCAGAGATATCCGCGTTGATGTGAACGTTCGACGAAGCACAAGGTGCGAACAGGGCTGCAAGACAGGCGAATGAAAAGTCAGCAGAATATCAAGGCACGAACAAACCTAGAGCTCAGAAGGAGACAGCGAAGAGCCGCGGTGCCGGAGAAAGCCTAGGCACGGAAGGAAAACGTATGTCCAGGGCATGCTACAGTTGCGGTAGCACAGGGCACTGAAAATGGAATTGCCCTTAGCGTAAGAAAGAGCTGATTGAACAGGTTCCCGCCCTGCCGTGGTGGCCTAGTGGCTAAGCTATTCGGCTGCTGACCCGCAGTTCGCGGGATCGAATCGCGGTGGCGGCGGCTGCATTCCCGATGAAGGCAGAAACGTTGTAGGCTTATGTGCTCAGATTTCAATACACGTTAAAGAACCCCAGGCGGTAGAAATTTCCGGAGCCCTCCACTACGGCGTCTCTACGGCGTAAGGATACGCATATCGGAACCGTTCTCGACACGGGAGCGCAGATCACTGTGTTGCGGGAGAGCGCGATCCCACCGGAGAGTGTGAAGCCTCAAGGAATTATTAACTTAACATCTGCGTTCGGTCATACGGTGAAAGCGACGCTTGCGGTGGTCTCCTAGATAATGTCAAGCAAACGCGGCGTTAGCTCTGACCTAAGGAAACGGTTCCCGTGCTTTGCGCGTTAACTGTCCGACTGACAGCACGAGCGGATAGCTTGCTGCCAGAAAAAGCGTGGAAATCGCCTAAAATTAGCTGCGCTCCCGAGAGCATATCGAAAGGCGTGGAGGAGACAGGCGGCACACAACTGACGCTGAAAAGTGGCTCGTTGAACACGGGCAAAGTGCGGCAGTTAGAAGCCGAGATCCCTGAAAGTCAGAGGGAAACTGCGACTATGTTGCGGTTTCCCCCTGACTCCTTATGACCCTTGTTGGCAGTCGTGGTCCCGCTCCCTACGATCTATGTTGTCGTAGGGAACGGGGACCACGACTGCTCCAGGGCAACCGCGCGTCGCCCGATGGATCGCAAGTGGCGCGCAGAAAAGAAAGAAGAAACGTTGGCAGATCCCACGTATGGTGGGAATCGATTATATGCGAAACTACGAATAAGAAAGGTTGATATGTCACTTTAAAATCAGTACAACGTTACGAGGTGGAGGTAAGTGATGCCGTACATGACTTCCCTGTCATGATTATCATGTTTGGGTGTGTCGTTTACCTTCGTCATCTATTCGCGTCACGTGATATCCAATTTAGTATATGTTGAGCTAGCGAAATGGCCTCAAGCGCGCTATTAGCGTGGTATTGTCATGTTCTTACATGATACGCGTGTCGAGATTATCATTTTTGCACCAGTCATATATTTTTTCATCTATTGACGTCACGTAACATCAAATTTGGTATATGTGGAGCTAGCAAAGCGGCCGCGAGTGCATCATGAAGCGCCTTTCTACGACACACGATGCCCGCACCGAAAAACTGAGGTAACGCTTGATGATCATTTCTTGAAAGGCGACGCTGCTCCCAGTGCACACTCGACAACTGGCAAAAAAGCTACAGCAGTCCAAGAAACGGTTCCCAGGTGTAGTTCTGCACTGCCTGATTATTGCTCGTGTGTCAAAAGAACTTGTTAAAACTGATAAGAGCATGATGAATGAACGCAAACCGCGATTTCTCACAAAGACATTGATTTTCAACTGTTTAATGGGTCAAAATGCCAGGAGTTTCAGCATCACGAGACTAGCGGTCGTTTTCTGCAGACGTCATGAAAACCAAGGCGCTAACTACAGCGCTTCCATAGTTAGTAAACGAAACTGAAGTTTTAACCTCACTGGCAAAAACATCTTCTGGCTGCTGGTGTATTTCAAAGACGAGGGGCGAGGAAGACATGCGTGCCTTTTGGAGAAGAATGTTAAGGCAAAGGGACTCACTAAGTTCTTGGTGCAAGCTTAGTCCTCTCTCCGGGCACACACTGGAAGAACGCGCTAGAAAAGTTCAGAAGCCACAACGAGTGTGACTACCACGAGACCGCTGCTCTATACGTGACGAATTTTCTAGAACTTACTCAAAGGTGAGTCACTCGCTGAAAAGATAGAGTCATCAGCACCAGTAAAAAAGGAATTGAACAGAACAAAACTAATTTCCATCATATCTTCATCTTCTGTGGGACACAAGGTGATTATGAGATTCGTCGTAGGGGCGCTCCAAACATTTTACGACTCTGGGTCTTTAGCCTGCGCGCAACTTAATGTGCACGCGCCTCGAGAATTCTCACCTACATCGAAATACAGGTATTTGATTCTGCAACCTTTGGGTCAAAATTTGAGGACTATAACGACTGGACCACCGTGGCGGGTATGGTAAAAAAGACGGTTTTGGTAAAATCATTATGTGCTCTTTTCGTCCAGCTGTAAGGGGGAAAGTTCAACTGATTGGGATATATTGGTAAAAATCACTTTCACACCGTATCACAGTGATACTGTTCTCTCCCGTTGCCAACTCCTTTGCTTTCCGGTGGCGTCTTTCACTTGCAGACGTGGTTCGTGGATATGAACGGTTTGAACGGCAGTGTCACTACGCAAGTTTACATGTAACAATTCTCGTAAATTTTGGAACATTCCTGGCATATATTATTACATTTAATGCGCAGGATAATCTTCCTGTCAATTTAAAAAGACACGCGACAGTGTTCTGCTGTGTAATGTGTCTCTTTGCAGCGGGAAATATTACTTGCACAGTTTGTTTCATTTTTTCTAAAAATTATGGTTACATTATATATTGTCCTTTATTTGATATGATACATGTCCGCGTCCACATTGTTTTTTATTCTGTGTATTTATTGTTGTGCGTTGTCGCAAGTTGCAGAAATTGCTCGGTGTGCCCTTCCAGTTAAGCGATATAAAGGGACGAACAAATGAAGCGAATCAGTATAAATATTTTTATGCGTCGTGTGTTTTCAGCTCTATGTTTCTTATTCTTGCGCTGTTTGCCACACCACTGAACAATAAAACTTGTGCTCACTGCAGCCACCCAAAATGCATTTCTCATTAGGCTGAATTAGGTTTGTGACCACCAACTTTTTAATATACAGCTTAAGTTACATGATGAATATGTTAGTAGGCCTTTCTAAGGTTCTGATTGGCCTGCAAGTTTTCCTGTGTTGCACCTTCGTCAGTAGAGTACAGTTTAGAGGGCCTTTAGCCGTGAGGGCATATCAAAGATATTGTCACGTGCACCCTGCGGAAAAGACCAAGGCGACAGTTTATACGCGCATCTGCACGCTTTTATGAAGAAAGCAACAATGCCAAAGACGAGGAACTCTGGCGCGTGGTAAATTAAAAAGACTGACCCACGGTTGCTTTCTCAGCTTCTTCCAATACGGCCTCTGTCCTCTACTGGCGACACTGGGGGAGGCGTTGGTGCCTGCCACCTGATGCAGGAAAACGTTGTTCGGGACCGTCACCCAGTCCGTATAGCCTCAACATCTTGTTACAACTCCAGTACACCGATTCAGCCGACGCCTAGTGGGCCTATGTCTGGAACTCTTGACTGCGTTTCCTCTTACCAACATGGTGGCCCCTACAACGTCCTCGAATCTTCTTCCTGCCCAGACGACTCTTCCTTCCCAGGTAACTTTGGAGCCTCCTCGTCTTCCCGAAGTCTTCCGTGGAGAAGCGTATGAGGATGTCGAGGACTGGCTCGACCAGTTCGTGCGGACCGCTGTGGTAAATCGCTGGAACGCACAAAAGAAACTTGGCCGTGCCTACTTCGCAATGGAAACCAGTGCTCGCACATGGTACTAAAACAGGGAAGCTACTTTAAAAACATGAGACAATATCTGCCAAAAGCTTCTCGAGACGTTCCTGAGCGCGGAACGACGGAATCTCGCACAACATATGATTGAAGCCCGCGTGCAAAAGCCGAACAAAAACGTCGCCATGTTCGTTGAGGATATGGCCCGTCTATTTCGCCGTACTGTCCCTGACACGCCCAAGGCAAGGAAAGCTCGTCACCTGAAGCGGGGAGTTAAAGAACCGCTTTTCGCCGGCTTTGTACGAAATCCGCCAACAACAGTATATGAATTTATCAAAGAGGCGACTGTCCTTGAGCGGGCGTTTTGGCAATGATGCCGGCACTTTGATCGCTTGCCCTACCAAACACCTGTAGGTGCCGCCGCTCAAAACGCTGCCATTTCCGAAATCTTTTTACGGCAAATGATTAGGCAAATCCTGCGGGAAGAGCTGCGGGCCCTCGGAATTCCGTCTACCGAGTCGCTTCTGTTGCGAAAATTGTGTGCCACGACCTGCGGACGTCTTTCCATCACCGGCGCCACTGACTAACCACGTCCTGTGCTGATGCCGTCATCTGCCTGCCCCAGAAGAAAAACTTTTTCATTCACGGCCCGTTACCTTGCCTTGGTGGCAGCGGGAACCTGTTCGGTGACCGCCATTACGCCGGACCGACTTGTGGCGCACTGCCGACTGTCTACTCCTTTGTTTCCACTGCGGCCACATCTCGCTCTACTGCCGTCATCGAGAAGCTTAGTTTGTCAGCTTTTCTGGTCCCGCGTCATTTTATTGTGAAGACCCTCGTAGCCATGGTGCTGGTAACCTGCCGACCAACCAAGCTTCTTCATCTCGTTGCGGCTGGCGGTCTCCCTCACCTGCACGAGGTCACACTTGCCCGTATCGCCAAATTTATGCTAGACGACATGACGAC